TCCCTCTTTCCTACTATATGATACAGACTTTCCCACTGTCCTGGAGGGGAGGCACTAGAAACTAATCATTATTTCCAATTAGCAATAAAAACAAAGCATAAGCCAGGAGTGTAATGTCTTAACAATTAACCATTTCTAATAAAAATTTATTTGAGAAACAGGGAAGAGTAATACTTTTAACTCCAAATCTTGATGGAAGCACTTCTACCAGGAATAGTATTAGCTTTTAATTATTTTCACATTAGTTGTATTTTATTTGAGTATTTAAAATTTGCTATTTTAGAAGACAGTTTTCTTATTTTTTTGGGTCACAGTACTACTTTGGAATCTGAGGAATCTCTGGAGACCTTCTGTTCAAGTCTATTTATCTTAGGGAAAATCCAGAAAGAGCAGTTGATTGGCTCAAGGTCACCCAGCAATTTAGTGGCAAAGCCATGCCCACAACTAAATACACTGAGCATCAAAGGTGCTTCTACAACTCATACCACCTGGCAATTTATTAGTGGATTATCTTGACTTTAATTAAGGGATTGATCTCTCATTGCCATTGAATTGGCACCACCTCAAAGCTGACCCTCTAGGGCATTTTCAAGGGCTCTAACAGGCGTAGATTACTCATCTTTCTTCTTTGGAGCAGCTGATGGATTTGAATAGCTCAACTTTGTATTAGCAGTACAAGTCCCCACCTATTTGGCCACCAGAACTCCCTTAGTAAGGGATACTATTGTTATTATGTGCCATCAACCGACTCATAGCTGACCCTCTAGTGGTTTTCAGAGGCTGTAAATCCCATGGGAGGAAACTGCCCATCTTTTCCTCACAGAATGGCTGAAGGATTGGAACTGTCTGCCTTTGGATTGGCAGTGTAACTCCTTATCGCTAGGCCACCAGAGTGCTCTTATTATTAGGGATTGGACGCTCTAACTTCTTCAACAGCCCTACCATCTCCAAAGCCGGCCTCTGTCACCTTCAGTATTAGGAACCCAAGGGGATTGGAATGGGATGAACTCCCTAGTGTTGAGCCTCTGTGGTCTTGGCTGCAGCAGCTGCTGGAGATGGTAAGGGGCTGAGGAGGAGAGGGGGTGGAGAACAGAGGACACAGTTGGTAGGTGAAGGCATCTCTTACCAGTTGTCCCTGCAGCTGTCCCTGGCTCAGCCTGACACTGGATTACTCAATCACTGGGGGGAGTCGTGGGAAGCAGGGACAATGGGGACTCCTCACTAAATAATATGCTTCCGGAAATTTTATGAACTTTGATAAATGTCGATAGTTCTAGAAAGGCTTCAGGCCTTTTGTTCATAGGGTTACTATGAGTCGTGCTCGCCTCAATGGCAATCAACAACAACAGCAACAACACTTGCATCAGGGTCTCAGCCTCCTGGGGCCAGAAGTCCCACCCCAAGGGACTCATGGGAAGCCAGTCAAAACCCTAATGAGGACCCTCCTTTGTATCTCTTGGGCTCTTTAAGTATTTCTTGGTCCCAAGGTATATGCTCTTTCCCTATGGATCAGAAATTGGACTTCAGGGCAGGGTGATGGAAAAGGTAGCACCAAAAGGCACCCTAAATATCCTCAACAGCTCCCACTCCCCAGTTCTCCTAATGTCTCTGCAAGATCTGCTGTTGTTGCAATGTGCTGTCAAGTCAGAACCAACACACAGCTGACCCTCCAGTAGGTTTTCGGAGGCAGTAAATTACATGGGAAGCGAGTGCCCACCCTTCTCCTAAGGAGCAGCTGGTAGATTTAAACCACCTGTCTTTGGAATTGCAGTGCAGCTTCTTACCATTAGGCCACCAGTGCTCCCTCTGCCAGACCTGGGTGGATAATTTACATGATAAATCCCAAGACAGTCACAAGGAAGAATCCACTAGCCTCCTGTAGTCTCATGGATCTATCTCACCATGTACATGTATAAACTGGCAGTCACAGGTCTTTCCAGGTACAGGCTGAGGCAAGGGCTGTTGATCAAGCTCTAACAGGCCCTGGCATGGCAGTGGAACACTAAGGCATCTCAGATGCCAAAGCAGAAACTCCAGGCCTCAGGAGTGAGGCTTTGGACTTAGGAGCTGAGCCTTAGATCCCACCTTCAGGACCCTCCAAACTATCCCCTAAGCTCCTGAAGTGAACGTAATGGTCAAAGAACTCAGCTGGGAGTCAGATAGCCTGTGTTGGGCTTTCCCACCCTTGCTTGTAACATAAGCCTTTGCACCTCTATGGCCTTTGCTGTCCTTGTCCTGCTAGAACCTGTATGAGCCTGAGGCTGCACATCCCTGCCCCTGCTCCTGTCCAGGCTGCAGAAGACAGGCAATCCAGGAAGTCATCGAGCACCAGAGCCTTGTAAGGAGGGAAGAGGTGCTTCTGCTTTGTGGGCCTGGGATCTCCCTACTTATGACTCAGTCTTCCTCTATCAGTTCCATGTGAGAAGGTATAGACGCTACCAACATCCTGCAGCCTGAACCCACAACTAGACTCAACTCTAGAAACACGTGTACACACTGCCTGTCCAGAACTGACTCTAGAACACCACCAGAGGTTCTAAGAACAAGACAAGATCAGAGCTCCATCCTTCCCTTGAAGACATCTGCTGTCTCACCCTGTCTCCTTCTGTCTCTCATAAAGCCACCAGGATAGGAAGGGGAAGGGGGGCAGCATCTGACTCATGAACCCAGCTGTCCTGTCTGGGGTGGAGTCCTGCTTCTAGCCTAGACCCCACACAGACTTCCCCTGAATTTCTGGAGCTCTACACATCCACTCTTTCCCTGTACTTGGGTATCCAAATCTCTCAGACTCCAGATTTTAAAAAGTGTGTCATATCTTACAGGTGAGAGTAAAGACCTTTTGGATATGTAACCAAGCCCTGTAAGAGCAAATTCCAAACTCTTAGGTGCTGGGTGAGGCCAAGGCTAGACAAAGGAGTGTCAGAGGGTCTTATAGGCAGCTGAGCACCCCAACCCTATGGCTGACCTTGAACTCTGAGCTCTAATTAAACATTAAACCAGATAACACCTTCTCTCCAGTTTAGGGTGGGAGGGGTTGAGACAGTACCATTGTTCTCTTCCTAACTCTTCATTCTACCCACTTCTCCACTCTGCCCTCCTTCTGGGGAGATTGAAGAGGACAGGCACTCTAGTCAGAGCCCCTTTTTCCCTTTCACCTCTGGCTCCCATCATCCCATGATCCAGGTGTGCAACACTCGCCCCCCTTTACCGGAAGCCCAGCTAGGATCAGTGGGGGAGAGGAGAGGCAGGTGGCTAAATATAACAAGGCCGCCTCTGCCCCACGTGCGCACACACCCGCCTGGTGTCCCAGGCTTAGACAGCTGCACCAAGAGGCAGAGGAGACAGACTAGCATGGCTGGGTTAGCAAAAAACCATAGACACTGCTTGTCCTGGAGCCCATCATGTCTTCTCCAGAAAAAGAGCTGCTAAAAACTCCCTTTATAAGGTTCTGTGTGTATGCATGTTTGCATACTTCAGTGTGCACATGGGTTTTTGATAGCTAAGTAGAAGCTGAGTGGTTGCTAGTTTAGAGCTTTCAGTAATTCTCTCAATTCTTACAACTAGTCCAGCTGGGGTTCAAGCTTACCTACTTGGCCTCCTACTTCTCCTGCTAAGTTGTTCATATTACTAGGGGCAAAAAAGACAAGAGTGATTTCTTTCAACAGGTTGAACCCGTCTCCCAAGGAACTTCTTCCACTCAGGCAAGGGTGATAGGATCTGACCACACCTACCCTGCCTCAGAAGGTAGAGTAGGGTTGGGTGTTGAAAGGGGTAGAATAACCATAGAATGCATACCAGAGATCTGGGGAAAGCCCAGAGAAGATGACGCAAAGGGAGGACGAGTCAAACCCCACAGGCCTTGTAAGTATCTCTAAGCACCTTCAATCATTGTCTGGGTCTTCATAGAGGAAGGGGAGTAGGGAGAGGTCACATTCTTGGGGGGCTAAAAGAAGAGCGGGGCCTAAACTTCCAAGACTTTATAAGAAAGAAAGTGTAGAGTAGGGTGGGGTAGGGTGGGGCAGGGCAATGTGGGAGTGGCCTGAAGCGTCCAACGGCTGGATTTCAAAAATGTCACTGTATTCCAGCAGTTTAATAAGGCAAAGATCAAAACGTCAGCAGCTGCGAGGCTAGGCCAGAGCAAGGACTGCTGGGTCTTGGCTGGGAAAATGAAAGCAGCTCGCTTGGAGAGGGAGGGAGGGGGGAGCTGCAGTGGCATGACCCTCCACAGGCACAAGGCAGGAGGGCCAAGAAGGGTGCCACCAGCCCTGAGCATAGCACAACTTCCTGAGCCCAGAGTCTGTGCCCGCTGTCTCCCTCCCTCCCTTGCATTCCTGGGCAAAACAGGCCCAGGGCTGTGGGAGCTGCGTGGGAGCCTCATTCCTGGAGCTGTTCGGTGGGCTGGTCAGAGCCCAGGAAGGGTCCCAAACATTCAGGGAGTGAAGGTGCTTTTTGACTCTTAGCTGAGTCAAAAATTGAGGAAAGGGTCATGCCAAGAAGGCTATTGACACACCCCTGGAGGAAAAAAGGGGGTCACCCTGCCTTGGTGACCTCTCTCCAGCACGACTGGACATCTGCCAGTTAGGGAGCTCTGTCTTAGCGAATCTCACGTGCTCAACCAGCCTGGCAAAGTTGGCACACTGCCAAGCCTGCCAAGAAAGTTCTAACAGGACCCTTTCACCCACTACAATGTGTCCGGCTTCCAGATTTCCCATACCTGGCAGGCCAGTTCTGCTATGAGCAAGCTCCTCCTCTAGCTTCGAAATGGCTGGCAAACCCCACCCTAACAGGAGTCGGCCACGAGCCCCATTTGGCGCTGATACTCCCACCATTCCTAATTTTCCCAACTTCTTTTCCAAAAGACCCCTCCCCCTCTCTCCTGTCACAACAATTCCCCTTGGCACTGCTAATCACCCATTTGAGGTAGTTCTGGAGAGGGAGGCAAACTTATTAACTATCCAGAGTTCTCTCTCCAGTTCTCCCTGTCACCTGGGCGCACTCACCGCGCTTTGAGCTCCTTAAACTCCTCTCGCACTTTGCTCAGCTCTAGCTGCAGGCGTGCTCGCTCCTTGGCCACCGAATCAAGGGTCTTCCGGGCATCTCCCAGCTCGGTCTCATAGGCGGCCTTGATGCCGGACACCTCGCGGCTGACCACCTCCTCGGACTCGGTGATGCGAAGGCGCAGTCCCGCATTCTCTGTCTCCAGTGAGCGTACACGGTCAATGTAGACCGCCAGGCGATCGTTGAGCTCCTGCAGGTCTTCCTTCTCTTGCAACCGGGTGATGCGGGTGGGCGACAGCGGGGTGGAGCTGGTCTGCGCCCCGCTGCGGGTGGCGCGCCGTTGGGACGGGGTCTCCATGGCCGGCAGGGTGGCAGCGCTGCCCGCAGGGCAGTGGTCCCAAGAAGGGCGCGGAGCTTGAGCTGAAGGACAGAGACTGCTGGGGGTCGGAGCTTGCCGGCCGGCTGGCTCCCGACAGGCGTGAGGATCTGGGATGGGAACACCGTAGGATCACAGGCCGGGGTTGGCTGGAGCAGAAGCGGCTCTCCCGCGAACACTGAGTCACCGGCGTCCGGGCAAAGGCTCTAATAGGTCTGTGGAAAAAGAGGAGGGGCCACTTTCTTAAAGGAGCCGCTGTCCAGCCGTAGGGGCGGGGTAGCGCTAAAGACAGGATACCGGGGTCGGTAGGGAGGGTGGCAGCAGAGTCGTGCCCATCCTCTTCTTAGTGCGAGACTGCTTGGGTTTTCGTGGAAGCTCCCTCCGCGTCTTGATTCCTACCTGCTATTCCTTTCCCCACTCTGTAGGCCTCCCAGGGTAGAGGCCAGAGCCAGGGACAAGAGTGTGTGGGAGAAGGGCAAGACGAAGAGGAAGACTGGGTGCAAAGCGAAGGGAGGGGTCCAGACTGCGGGAGTGGGGTACACAAAAGTGGGGGCAGGGCCGAAGCTGGTGCTCAGCAGGGTGACTCACCCTCCTTCCACCACTGGCTCCCCCTTCCCTCCCCGTAGTAATAGTGAGTCACCCCTACCCCCCCCAACACACGTGGGCAGCCCATTCAAAGCTGCATCTCTGTATGCCAAGGGTGGGGCTGAGGAAGAATGCTTGAGCTCCCCTGGGGGATAACGATTCTGTTATGGACGTTATAGATGCTGGGTTCCTTTGCCCCTTCAACCTGGGTGCATAACCAGGAATTTAGGGTCTCTTTAAGTATCTTCCGCCTCAATTTCATCCCCGTCCAAACCAAGTATTGGAACTTCTACTCAAGCTTCAAGCCTAGTTCCCCAGAGAAGGCCAAGAATAGGACCCCAACATCTGTCCCTCGTCATTTGCCCCTTTCTTTGGTCCTCAGTAGTTAGAAAAAGAGGCTGCCAAGGTTCCTCCCTCTTTTAGTCCCTTTCTGATCCTCACCCCTCCCAGCCAACGCCACAACCCATAGTTATTTTTTTTTCCAAGACTGTACTTATTTTAATGGATAATTTGAAACAGATACCAGAGCTGTTCCTGCGCTCATCACGCTGCCAGGGCACCAGGTCCCAGATTTTTGTGGTTTGCAGAGGGGCCTAGAAGGGAGAACAGGCCCAGAGACTGGACAGCCAGTGCTGGGTCTCCATCCAGAAAGGAGGTGGAAGGGAACCCACAGTCTCTCTCACCCCTATAGCACTGTTGTAGAATGGGACTGTCCTTGGGGTTGGGGAGAGACTGAGTAAGATGGGTTCAATAATGTATACTGCACTGAAACAGAGGAGGGAGAAAACTGTTTAAAAGAGATATATAACTAGGTATTTCTGTCATCACAGGAGACTAGAGCGAGGGCTACATAGTGGAGGGGACCTGGGGGAGGGTTTGTAAAACAATGAAAGAATCTTTTCTTTTACTTTTCCATAATTTTTGGACTCATGTACTTATAACTTGTTAGTCAAATTTGTGTCTTCTAGGTTGCAACACTCCCATGATACATCTTCAAGGATATGAACATGTACGGCCAAGCACAATCAATAAGAATGCATCTAAATTCCAACATCAATCTCCATAATAGTCAATGTGTTTCCTACTGCCAAAGGGGCCCTTTAGAGTAGTGAGAGAAGATCTTCACCCTGAAACCCACAGCGTCCCTTTTCAGCAGGAAGTAGCTAAGAGAATACGCCATCCCCTTTTCCTTATGACTCAGGGTGAAGTCTCTCTCGGGGAGGAGTGATGGGGAATGGCAAAGGACACACTGACAAAGAAGATTGATCAGAACTGGCTTTGACAAGCACTGTGGCATTTGGACAGGAGCAAACTGGGAGGAGGGTAGAGAGAATAGTGCAACAATGAATGAATGGAAACCCAAAATCTCTGTAAATGTTTATGAAAATTAATAAAATATAGAAGAAAAAAAAAGCTCTCTGATCATGTTTGATTTGCAGCCAACGCTTGGGAGGGAATCTGACCAATTACAGGACAAGAACACCCCAGATCCTTTGGCTTTTGGCTCTGGAGCCTCTGGCTGCATCAAGGACACTCTGACCAGCCTCCCACTCCCTTCTCCTAATCCTAGCCCTGCTCTCTCCCTCCTCTAAGAGGTGGTAGTGTTGAGGCACTGGGATCCATCTGCCTGCCTGTCTGTCCTACCTGATGCCTCTCATAGCTTATTCTCTGATGAGGAATCCAGGAAATTAAATTATGCTAACTTCTAACAGGACAGCAGGGTTTCTGTAATACAGAGTGGAAGCAGGATTGGGCAGGTTTTCAGGTCTGAGTTTTGGTGCCAAACCTAAGAGTGGTCAAGGAGCAGAAGTGGGATTAACACAGGGATTCTGTTTAGAAAGAGACACTGGGAAGAAGGCACCAACACTGAGTCCTCATTTTGGTGAAAGTGATTAGGCACCTCTAAGGTGCTCCAGAAAGGGACTCAGGACATGGCTCTTGTTCCTGCAGCTCTCTCCTAGGGCGTGGCACCCCACCCTCAGTTCCCAGGCAAAACAAAAAGCTTTATTCTGTTTCTCCCTTTTCTGTTCCACAAGCCAAGAACAGAGGCAGGATGGGTGAGCCAGTGAATGTGAGGCTGGGGTTTGCACTATTCAGCCCCCTCCCTGGCACTGAGCCCCTCACTGAGTCCCACCCAGGGACCAAGACTGGAGAGGCAACACCATGTTTAACTCTTTCTATCCTGGATCTCCTCATCTTTGTGGATAAGGTACAAGAGAAAGGAAAGGGCTTTCACCCCAAATTTCACTCTAGATTCTTTCCTAAGCATTTCCTCTACCACCAAAATGACCTCAATTCTAAATCTGAACCTCAAAGTGAACCTCTTCCCCTGAATGATTCCTCCTAACTAGTGTAGGATTACCCAGCACGCACTGGTATGGGCTTACCAGTGCTTGCTTACTGTTCTGTAGTGAACAATTTCACGTATTTCACCATATCAAAGATAGAAAATGATTCACTATAGAATACTGAATAATCACTGTAATCCCAGAGGCACGCAGTTTGAATCCACCAGACGCTCCGCTGGAAGAGGAGGGACAACTCCTCCTGTACCAGTCAGATCCGATTTGATGGTACACACACACAAAATGTAAAAAATAAAAAATTTTGGGAGCTCTGATGGCCTAGTGGCAAGAAGCTGCACTGCAATCCCAGAATACTAAATAATCACCGGTAAACCCATGCTTACCTTTATAATGAGAAATCCTCATCCTCGACCCACAAACACTAACTTTTGCTTTCCTCTTACAAAAGAATGGATCAACCCGTCCTATGAGAATAGGAGAGATCAATTGCCAGGGGGCTGTGCCTGCTGGAAGTGGAGTGATGTGTGATGAACAAATTTCAATCCTGCCTCTTACTTGCTGTGTATTGTTAGATCAGCTACTGACTTCCCTGGGTCTTGGTTCTGTACATGGGCAGAGTGGCTACCAGACACATGGGTGTAGGGCACCTGGGTATGAATAAAGTATTTGTTGAAAGGGGTAACAGTGATGCTACATTTGCCCTCAAGGGAGCTGTCAAGTGGTAGGGTAAACAGAAGGAGAGGAAAAACCAACAAGCATGAAGAGCAGATGGGACACTGAATTGGAAAATGAATTCTAAGTGAATCCCAGGAAGCAAGGGACTGGAGAGCTGATGAGTAATCTCAGAATATGAGAGTGAAGTCCAGGGGGTGGTTTGGGAAAGGAAGGGGCCATAGTCTCTTAGAGACTAATGATCTTGGTGGGGGCTTTTTTTTTTAATGTCCCTACAACATTCTGGACCTCTCTCTACATGGAGTTCCACAAGGGACAGAAGGGCCCAGTTCTTGGTCATCTGTGTCCCTAGTACCTGGCACACAGAAGACGCTCAGTATTTCTTGGATGAACTAATCTATTTTGTCCTACCACTTGGCCAAACTATAATTTCTTGTCAGCCTCTGTTTCCTCATCTGTAAAATGGGGATGCTGTGAGGATTAAGTAAAACAACGTTTGAAGGAGACTTCTCATGGAAGGTATTGAGATTTTACAGAAATGCTGTATACATGGTGAATTCAGTCATTCAACAAATACTATATTCAACATCTACTATATGCTGACACTGTTTTAGACACTGGAGGTACAGCAGTGAATAAAACAGACCAATATCCTTACCTCAGGGGGCTGACATTCTAGTAGAGTCAATAAACAAAAAGAGACAAATTTATAGTTTGTTAAATGATGGCAAGTCCTACAGGGCACTGCTTAACAACAGTGAATCACATACTTTTATGCTATTTATAGTTCTGTTTTCACACTCATTCTCTAAGTCCACAAAATCACCCCATGGGCCAGAAATTATTTCTGTTTTACTGGTAGGGCTCATCTTCCTAAGACTCAATAGTAACAGAGCTCAGAGCGTAGACTAGACGCTAGGCAGCCTGGATGCTTCACTATCTTGGGCCACTTTGGCTGGATGCGTGGGAGATGTGCTGTGTGGACTTGTGCCGGGAGGAAGCTGTACAGAGATGCCAAAGTGAAGAAGCGTTGAAGGAGTGTACTAGTCTACGGAGGAGAGCAAAGAGGCAAGATCAGAGATTATGGAAGGAGAGGCAGGGACCTGAGAGGAGTTCTGGTACTGAGATGGGGTCTGAGCAAAAATATTCTAGCTATGTGATAGGGTTTGGAGTAAAAGGGAGACATCCAGACCAGCAAGGAAAAATTCAGAGGTGCTGGCATTAGCAAGAGGTAAGCTAGACTAGGTGAGTCTCAGCAGAGGGATGAAATCAGGATGAATTAATTCCAAAGGAATAATGATAGCAATTATTCTAGCCAATATTTATTGACTATTGTTAGCCGTTAGGTATTTGTATAATCTTTTGAACTGACATAAAAGCTCTACAAGAGGGGCGTTTTGGTGGCCTAGTGGCAAGAAGCTGCACTGCAATCCCAGAGGTGCACGGTTTGAATCCACCAGATGCTCTGCTGCGGAAGGAGGAACAATCTCCTCCTATATGACAATTTGACTGTACACACACACACACACACACACACACACACAAAAAATAAAAGTTAAAAAAATGAAAAAAAAAGCTCTACAAGACAGAAAATACTACTTGTATA